CCGTAACTTACTAATACTCGTACCGTTACGGGTCGTCGTACTAAGTTACGTATATAGTGCTAGTCGGTCGTACTACCTACTAGTTTTACTTACTATATATATATATATATATATATATATATATATATATAAAGAAGATACCCTTTTTTTAGCTTCTCTTACAACTTTTAGGCGTTTTTAGGCCAATGTTTTGTCATTGCGTACAGCTCCTATAACTGGTTTTCATAGTCAATTTTCTTTAGAGATGAGATCGTTGCAATTCTATCTATAAGTTCCCAAACATTCTAATATAAGCTACAATCCTTGTTACAAAACAAAGTAACTAAAGCCCCAACTAAAAGGCCTTAAATTTTCTCATTTGATCAAGTCCTAAATGTTTTGGATTTATTAGCAAAATGCTTCTTTCCATTTGTAAACATATCCTTTTGTAATTGGAGGAACATAATCCATATTCCATACTAATCAAGTATAATTTGAAGTTTAATTGTTAATCTTTTCCGATGAGATCTTAGCTCTGCTTTCCACATCACCATCTCTTTATTTCATGTGCTAAACTGACCAACACTGAAACAATTAGTAGCGTTAACAACGGCACATTTTAATAAATCATCCATGCCTATTCGAAGACATGATAGCGAACCTCAATATTTTTTAAACTACCATTATGTACCTTAAATTATAATTATCACAAATGGCCAGAATTTAGGAGGATTACTAGAAGATAAATTTCCTGATCATTGGATGGATATGACATGAATGACCTCAAATGTCAAACTTACAAAAGTTCCTATGGCATATTTTAATTTTGATAAATATAAAGTTTGAGTGTTTGATATATTGTAACATGTGTTAGACTAAAATAAAGTGGCAACGGGAGCAATACTTGAAAAATAAGTAAAGTCAAAAAAATCGTTTGGTATGACATCAATTTTTAAAATTATCTTATGCAAAAATTCAATGATATCTAATACATAACATATTTACTTTGGGTTATTTGGTTTGTCAACTAGCTCCACTCATTCATCTGCTTCCAAAATTCATCTTAGGAAATAATTTTGGATATAAAATTTAACAGGTCCATTAACCGGATCGCAATGATTATGAATTAGAAAAAAAAGATTTTAAATCTTAAAAGAGATTATTTTAGACTTTGTTTTTTAAATTTTTGAACCATTCATTGTAAGGAATAATTAAACAAGATGATCTATTTTTAAGTCTTGAATTCTGGTTTTTCTTAATCACGATATTGGCAATGGAGATTATTGACTCGTAAAATTTGAGATCTAAATTTACATCAAAGGGACTGCACTTTAAACATGAACTCAATGAGGATTTCAATCTTGTCCCTTTCTAAAATTGAGTCTTCAAATTTTGCTCGTAGATTGAAAGGGAGGACGCTTTGTGAATGCATGCGGCCAGGGAAATAATTGGTCCGAAGCATAAGGCCCAGGCTTTATGAAAAATTACAGCCGCTCTTCAAAACATATAGAGTTATATAAATTCTTTCATGTAAAAATAACATATCATTTGGAAAAGGAAAAAGTTTAAATGTGGTCCTGTTCAAATATAACCCTTTCCCAAAATCATCTTAGACACATATTTTGGATCTAAAATTTCAAAAATTTAAAATAATATATTTTTAAAGTTTGAAATCTTTATTTTGTTTTTCAGATTCATGATGATGTGTTGAGATTATCAACTAACAAAATTATAAATCCAAATATGGATTTTGGAAGGGCCATGTTTGAATAGGTTTTTGGTGACCAACCAAAATCCCATCCTTGAAAAAAAAACAAGAAAAAAGGGCACCACTACTTTCTATACAGTTTACAACTACTCGCTTATCCAAAACACCAACGTATGAGGATTTTCTCAATGTGAAATTGTTGAATCCACTTTAGAAACTTCTTTTTGAGTTCTTAAACTCTTAAATCTGGCCATTTTGTAGTTGGATGGTCAATCTTTGAATTATTTTTTTTTGCAGGCACATATAAAAGGTGTACAGATTTTTTTTTTGTATTTTTTAGTTTGGCCACTTGGTTGAAGAAGTTCCATCCCAAATTTAGGATCTTAAAAATACTCCCTGAGTAGAATTTTACCTGAGGAGTGAAACTACGTTTCACTTCCCCGGGAGCCTTTATTCTTTTGGCTTTTATGAACAAGTTATTGCAAAAGAGGATAGGACTTATGTGTTAACTAAAATAAATGCGTAAGTTAGTCTTTAGAGTTTGACAAAAATTAGGTATATATATATATAAGAAAAAATTGGGATTAGCTTATTAGCTCATATGAACATATGAGCTCAACGGCTCAAATTGAATTTGGGCCGATCAAACGTCATGGACGTCCGATAGTATTTTAATTTTAATTTTTTTTTCTACAAATCCAAATCACTTGAAATTTGAGGAGTGTGTTCATCAAAAATAGTTGAATCTTCAAAAAATATCAAAAAAATATTTTATATGAAATAAATTGACCAAAATATCTCCAAAACGTTTAAATATGATAATTATGTGGAGGTCCAAAATTTATAAGGTCCACCATTGCGATGTTTCAAACTTCAAACGTTTACTTGTTTTTTCCCTTCTTATTTTTTTAAAAATTTATTTGTCGACCCAATGTTCCCAACATTGGACTATTGATGTGCAAAATATCGACCGCTATTTTATTTTATTTTTAATTTTTTTTTGAAATGTAGGCACTAGTCTTGGACCGCTTGGCTTGAAGTCACGGTCCGAGGTTTAGAACCTCAATCCCTGTATGTGAAATTCACTATCTAGGAACCGTTACGAGGTCTGGAATCCTCTTGGTTTGCACAATGGTCACGCAAGCCAAACATTCTGAAGTTGAATGCCACGAATTGATCCCCAAACTGAAATTCGTGGATTGGTCTAAGATTCCAAACTTTGGACCGCTTGGATTAGACAATCTTCCTAGAAACCAAGAGGATTCAGAGATTGAATACATACTTTTCATAAAAAATGAAAAAAAATGAAAAAATATAATAATTTAATATTTAGAAAATCAAATAAAAGGGGAAAAAGTAGATATTAAAAAAAAAAAAAAATCAAATGGACCTTTGTGTAAATTTGCAAAAATTTGCACCTCTATGTAATTCACTACTTTATTTATGGTATGGACTAAATTTTTCCTAAATACTATCCATGGTTTTTGTCCATAGCAGCAAGCAAAAGCTTCTGTATTTCTAGCCTTTTTTTTTTCTTGTTGGAACAGGCAGAATCCGATATCACTCATATCTCTGAATACCGGGTTTCACACTGGTGTGCCGGTGAAGAGTGGAGCGCCCCCATCAAATTGCCATGCTATTTATTCAGGTACAAGAGGAACTCATACACACACAAGAGGAAGAGGGGGAGAGAAAGTAATGAAAATTGCAGAATTAGGAAAGGAAACGTTGATTAGTGTATGTGGGGCATTGTCATAGCTGAAAATCAGGATTGTCCCATTGAAGAACAGCAGAATCAATATCTTGCTCCCTCTTCAGTTTATCCTTCACGAACCAATCACATATCCTCCCCGCATTCAGCTCTTCAATTGGAAATCCCTCTTCCTCAGATATCACCCTCAGCAAGTTCAACGAAGATATCTAAAAACCATCAACCCCAAAATCAATCCTCACCATCCAATCTACATTACTAACAACAGAGATATAGAGCACATACAGTTAGCCTGCAAAGGAAACGTTCGTGCGTATCCAAACCCGACATCTCAACAAGACCAGCTTCCTCTAAGCTCAAGAAGCTTCTCTTCTCCTCCATTCTTTCCTCATTCGAACATCTAACCAAAACCATTCTCTCTGTGCGCTTTGTCCCTATGGATATAATAATGCTCAATTAATGGAAATTTTGTTAAGCAACATTTGGAAATGGAGGAGAGAGAAATTGAGAGTGAAATTCTTACTTGTTGGACTGTAATGAAATACAGATTGCAGCTTGGCATTGTCAATGGAAGATATGGGAGGTGTGATGGTTTTGGTAGATGGGGAGGAAGAGATGAGTGCTTTCCAAGCCATGTTCGTAGGAGCACCTTGAAATGCTCTTCTAATCTTGTTATCGCAATCGAATTGTTTGTGTGGTGGACACGAGAGGATGGTGGTCTATCTACATATGTAAGTTTACAATAAGAGGGCTTCACAAGCCTATATAGCCTAATCAACTCCAACCTTTTATAAAATGGGATTGTATATAATGAAACCATTTATCTTTGATACAAGGTAGTCGCAATTCCTTACAACCACTTGATGTAAAATTTAATAGCTTGGATGTGTCACAAAATTTGCAAAAAAATTCTTTTGAAATTTGAGCTTGGTCAATGGAATAATTGCACCCACCCAATTTCACATCCAATGGTCAAAATTAATGTGACCATCTTGTATCAAAGATAAAAAGTCTCATTTTATATTTTCCCTTGTAAAATATGGCACTTGTGCAGGTCACACTAGAAAAGCTTTACATAGCCAATCAAGTTCAATGTTTTATAAAAGGGTCTAATTTGTATAGAATTACAACACTACACAATCAAAGTAAGACGCACCTCTGAACCTTGTCATAAGATGCAATTTTGATGTCAAATTTTTTTAAGTTTGTGCGAGAATTGATTTTCATTTTTAATTATAAAGAGAGATACGCTATAGAGAGAAATAAAGACATTATATAGAGAGGGGTTTAGTAGACAGATTGAGGTGCTTTTTGAGCTTTTGTTTGGACAAAAACTGAAGACATCATATAGAGAGGGGTTTAGTGGACAGATTGAGGTGTCTTTTTAGTTTTTGTTTGGACAAAAAGTGAGCAGTCAAAATGAGTAAATTGGGTTGGGGGTTTAGAAGATAGATTTTTTAAAAGACTTATTTGGTAATAAAGTATTAAAACCATGAATCTACGGGGATATTGTACAACAAATTAGTGTCGAAAAAGATTATTTTCCCTTTATTTTTTCAAGATTTTTGTGATTCCTAAGAGAAACGATGCTCAAGATTTTGGACCTCCCGTTTTTTAAATAGTCTAATATTAAAAACATCGGACCAACCGATAATTAGATTTTTACTAATGAAAGGACCATCTAATAATGTCTTGTCTAAGAAAGTTGAAGACTTTAAAGTTTTCTTTTAACCCGTCCAAATCCCAGGTAGAAGGGGTAAGTTGCGTTAGGTAGCAGCTAACATTAAACTTTGCCAAAACTTTTTATGAATATTGAATTTACGCTAAGTTCAAAATGGTAGACTAAGATTTGTGTAGCGATCCTAAATAGTTGGAAAAAGATTTTAATAATGATAATAATTTCTAATGTCTCCAATATCAAACTGTATTTAAAGAAAATAATAAATTAGGCTATATGACATCCCTAATATTGGACCGCCCTTTATTTTCTATTTTTCACATCGCTAACTGCTGACTAATAATAAACTATGCAGCAATATGGAGGTTCACCATACTACGATATACGTGTAAAATACGGACTCTAATAAGGCTATATGACATCCCTTAGATTGGACCTCCCTTTATTTTCTATTTTTTACATCGCAACGGCTCACGATCAGATTAAGTTTTAAGAAAAATCCAAAAAAATTATTAAAATTCGTTATAAATGTTGTTTTTTAAGAATCAAATAAAAAATTAGGGTACTATATTGTCAACTTTTATTTTTTACATCAATTTGTGAATATTGAGATGTTCTTTCCTTGTATAAACTTATGTTAACCATTAAATTTACATCAAAAAAAAAAAAATCATAGAATTATCATAGACAAAGTATATAATCATACATGGACTACAATAAAGAGTAGACTAAATCGATAAAAAAATGGTCACCAAAATCTTGAATTGACAAAAAACCCTAATCTGCTAAAACCCAAATTACTACAAGCAAACTAGATATAATCCAAAATTATTATAACCAAATTAACTATAATATTATATACTGAAATTAAAATTGTTGGTTTACATTTTGTAATACAAATAATAACAAATCCAAAATATTTTATAATATCATCAAATTTAAATGTATTATTGACAACGGTAAGAAAAATAGTACATTACATGATTTATAATGCAAAAATTAATAAATAAAATAAAAGATTTGGTTATCAATATATAAATTATTAGAATGTGTGCCAATTTTCGAAACAACACTTTAATTTTTCAAAATTTTAAATTTTTAGATTTTTAGAATAAATTTAGTAAAAGATATTGTTAGTAGAAAGAGAGATTTCAAATGGAATAAACCAATGGTTTAAAAAGCGGATCGGTGCCCTAGGGTGTATTATTACAACCTAACTAACTATAATATTACATCATTTATTCCTAGAGTATATTAAGAAATACTTGTTGTATTTATAAATATCTTTTATTTTTTTTACAATAAATCTTTGTTGTATTATCTTTGTTTTTTTGCTAAAAAAAATATGATATTTGTTGGATTATTTTTTATTTTATTTTTTAACAAAAAAATTAAGAAGACGTACTACATTTTTTTTTTTTTGTATTATTTTTTGACAAGAAATACGTTAGATTACTCTCTTTTTTTTGACAAGAAAAATAAAAAGATGTATTATTTTTTTTTACCAAAAATATTTGTTGTATTACCTTCTATTTTTTAGTTTTTTCTTTTATTTTTTTTCCAACATATTTTTTTTCTTCTATTTTTAATTTTTTTTACAACATGATTTTTTTTCTTTTACATTTTTAAAAATAAAAATAAAGCCCCAAAGGGGTATTTTTTCCTTTTATTTTTTTTACAACATATTTTTTTTCTTTTACATTTTTAAAAAATAAAAATAAAGCTCCAAAGGAGAATTGCGCATGAGAGGAATCGACACTGGGGAAGCGCAGGCCAAAATCCGTAAAGCGAGCCTCTTCCACCAATTCATCACATTATGCTTACGAGGCTGTAAGAAATATATACATGCTATTAGTTATGCAACTCTAATTTTGTCCC